CTGGGAGGGACTGGGGGGAAAATGGGCAGTGGGGGCTGAGGAGGGAATTGGGGAAGGGGAAATTGGGGGATAATCAGGGAGGGGTAAATGGGGCTGGGGGTAATTTTGGGGGGACAATGGGGGGGAATTGGGGGGGGTCGAGCCCCTCCCTCACACCTCCCCCCCCCCCGCCCCCCCCTTCTCTTTTGGGGGGCCGGGTCAGGGAGGGGTAAATGGGGCTGGGGGTAATTTTGGGGGGACAATGGGGGGGAATTGGGGGGGGTCGAGCCCCTCCCTCACACCTCCTCCCCCCCCCAGCTCCCTCCTTCTCTTTTGGGGGTCCGGGGGGCCTCTTGGGGGTCCCGGCCCCCCCCGAGGCCGAGCCTTTGTCCGAGGCGCTGCTGCAGCTGCAATTTGAGGAGGGGTCTCCCCAAATGGCAGGGGGGGGCGGCGGCGTGGCCCCCCCGTTGGATTTTGGGGCGCTTTTGGGGGACTCCCCGTTCCCCCCCCTGGACCCCATCAACGCCTCCGAGGTCCAGCGCCTGCTGGGCCCCCCCGAGCCCCCCCCGAGCTTCGGGGACCCCTCCTCAGATTTCGGGGGGGGTGTTTCAGAGCCGCCCCCCCACCCCCCGGATTTCGGGGGCCCCCCCATGCTGATGTCGTACCCCGAGGCCATCGCCCGCCTGGTGCAGAGCCAGCCCCCGGGGGCGCCCCCCGAAATGGGGCTGGGGGCTGAGCTGGGGGCGCCCCCCGAGCTGGGGGGGCTGGGGGGGCCCGAGGACTCGCTGCCCTCCCTGGGGGAGCTGGACTTCAGCACCTTCCTCAGCCAGTTCCCCTCCTCCTGACTGGGAGCACTGGGACGGCTGGGGGCTGAGCTGGGGGCGCCCCCCGAGCTGGGGGGGCTGGGGGGGCCCGAGGACTCGCTGCCCTCCCTGGGGGAGCTGGACTTCAGCACCTTCCTCAGCCAGTTCCCCTCCTCCTGACTGGGAGCACTGGGACGGACTGGGAGGGGGCTTAGGGGTTACTGGGAGGGGGCTTAGGGGTTACTGGGACAGACTGGGAGGGGGCTTAGGGGTTACTGGGAGTCACTGGGAGGGGGCTTAGGGGTTACTGGGAGTCACTGGGAGGGGGCTTAGGGGTTACTGGGAGTCACTGGGAGGGGGCTTAGGGGTTACTGGGAGTCACTGGGAGGGGGCTTAGGGGTTACTGGGAGTCACTGGGAGGGGGCTTAGGGGTTACTGGGAGTCACTGGGAGGGGGCTTAGGGGTTACTGGGAGTCACTGGGAGGGGGCTTAGGGGTTACTGGGAGTCACTGGGAGGGGGCTTAGGGGTTACTGGGAGTCACTGGGAGGGGGCTTAGGGGTTACTGGGAGTCACTGGGAGGGGGCTTAGGGGTTACTGGGAGTCACTGGGAGGGGGCTTAGGGGTTACTGGGAGTCACTGGGAGGGGGCTTAGGGGTTACTGGGAGTCACTGGGAGGGGGCTTAGGGGTTACTGGGAGTCACTGGGAGGGGGCTTAGGGGTTACTGGGAGTCACTGGGAGGGGGCTTAGGGGTTACTGGGAGTCACTGGGAGGGGGCTTAGGGGTTACTGGGAGTCACTGGGAGGGGGCTTAGGGGTTACTGGGAGTCACTGGGAGGGGGCTTAGGGGTTACTGGGAGTCACTGGGAGGGGGCTTAGGGGTTACTGGGAGTCACTGGGAGGGGGCTTAGGGGTTACTGGGAGTCACTGGGAGGGGGCTTAGGGGTTACTGGGAGTCACTGGGAGGGGGCTTAGGGGTTACTGGGAGTCACTGGGAGGGGGCTTAGGGGTTACTGGGAGTCACTGGGAGGGGGCTTAGGGGTTACTGGGAGTCACTGGGAGGGGGCTTAGGGGTTACTGGGAGTCACTGGGAGGGGGCTTAGGGGTTACTGGGAGTCACTGGGAGGGGGCTTAGGGGTTACTGGGAGTCACTGGGAGGGGGCTTAGGGGTTACTGGGAGTCACTGGGAGGGGGCTTAGGGGTTACTGGGAGTCACTGGGAGGGGGCTTAGGGGTTACTGGGAGTCACTGGGAGGGGGCTTAGGGGTTACTGGGAGTCACTGGGAGGGGGCTTAGGGGTTACTGGGAGTCACTGGGAGGGGGCTTAGGGGTTACTGGGAGTCACTGGGAGGGGGCTTAGGGGTTACTGGGAGTCACTGGGAGGGGGCTTAGGGGTTACTGGGAGTCACTGGGAGGGGGCTTAGGGGTTACTGGGAGTCACTGGGAGGGGGCTTAGGGGTTACTGGGAGTCACTGGGAGGGGGCTTAGGGGTTACTGGGAGTCACTGGGAGGGGGCTTAGGGGTTACTGGGAGTCACTGGGAGGGGGCTTAGGGGTTACTGGGAGTCACTGGGAGGGGGCTTAGGGGTTACTGGGAGTCACTGGGAGGGGGCTTAGGGGTTACTGGGAGTCACTGGGAGGGGGCTTAGGGGTTACTGGGAGTCACTGGGAGGGGGCTTAGGGGTTACTGGGAGTCACTGGGAGGGGGCTTAGGGGTTACTGGGAGTCACTGGGAGGGGGCTTAGGGGTTACTGGGAGTCACTGGGAGGGGGCTTAGGGGTTACTGGGAGTCACTGGGAGGGGGCTTAGGGGTTACTGGGAGTCACTGGGAGGGGGCTTAGGGGTTACTGGGAGTCACTGGGAGGGGGCTTAGGGGTTACTGGGAGTCACTGGGAGGGGGCTTAGGGGTTACTGGGAGTCACTGGGAGGGGGCTTAGGGGTTACTGGGAGTCACTGGGAGGGGGCTTAGGGGTTACTGGGAGTCACTGGGAGGGGGCTTAGGGGTTACTGGGAGTCACTGGGAGGGGGCTTAGGGGTTACTGGGAGTCACTGGGAGGGGGCTTAGGGGTTACTGGGAGTCACTGGGAGGGGGCTTAGGGGTTACTGGGAGTCACTGGGAGGGGGCTTAGGGGTTACTGGGAGTCACTGGGAGGGGGCTTAGGGGTTACTGGGAGTCACTGGGAGGGGGCTTAGGGGTTACTGGGAGTCACTGGGAGGGGGCTTAGGGGTTACTGGGAGTCACTGGGAGGGGGCTTAGGGGTTACTGGGAGTCACTGGGAGGGGGCTTAGGGGTTACTGGGAGTCACTGGGAGGGGGCTTAGGGGTTACTGGGAGTCACTGGGAGGGGGCTTAGGGGTTACTGGGAGTCACTGGGAGGGGGCTTAGGGGTTACTGGGAGTCACTGGGAGGGGGCTTAGGGGTTACTGGGACGGACTGGGAGGGGGCTTAGGGGTTACTGGGACGGACTGGGAGGGGGCTTAGGGGTTACTGGGAGTCACTGGGAGGCTTTTAGGGGTCACTGGGGGACACTGAGGGCTACTGGGAGTTACTGGGAGTCACTGGGAGCTCTCTGCGGCCCCCCGGGCACAACTGGGAGTCACTGGGAATCCCGTGCGGTTACTGGGAGCTACTGGGAAACTCCTGGGGGGGTCACTGGGTGCCTTTCGTGGGGGGGGGGTCCCCGCTTCGCCCCCAGAGCACAGCAGCCAATGGGAGCGTGGCAGCCCCTCCCCCCCCCGGGGGCGGGGCTGTCCAGGTGAGGGCGGGGCTGTCCAGGTGGGGGCGGGGCTGTCCAGGTGAGGGCGGGGCTGTCCAGGTGGGGGCGGGGCTGTCCAGGTGCGCGCTCAGGTGAGGGCGGGGCTCTGTGCAGGCGCGGATCAAGAAGATCATGCAGACGGACGAGGAGATCGGGAAGGTGGCGGCCGCCGTGCCCGTCATCATCTGTATCCTCTGGCACACCTGGGCACCCCTGGGACCCTGCCCCGCTCACCTGGGCACTCCTGGGACCCCGCCCTGCTCACCTGGGCCCCCCCGGGGCCCCACCCTGCTCACCCGGGCACCCCTGGGACCCCGCCCCGCTCACCTGGGCCCCTCTGGGATCCTGCCCTGCTCACCTGTGACCCCACCCTGCTCACCTGGGCACCCCCACCCTGCACAGCTCGATCCCCCCCAGGTGCCCCTACCTGTGACACCTCAGTCTGCCCATCCTGGACACCTGGGGGGTGTCACCTGTGTCCCGGGGGTGTCCCCGGCACACCTGGGGGTGTCACCTGTGTCCCTGGGGGTGTCACCTGTGTCCCTAGGGGTGTCACCTGTGTCCCTGGGGGTGTCCCCAGCATCCCTGGGGGTGTCACCTGTGTCCCTGGGGGTGTCCCCGGCACACCTGGGGGTGTCACCTGTGTCCCTGGGGGTGTCCCCAGCACACCTGGAGGTGTCACCTGTGTCCCTGGGGGTGTCCCCAGCACACCTGGCTGTCCCTGCACACCTGGCTGTCCTTAGCGTGCCAGCGCGGGCCCTGGAGCTGTTCCTGGAGTCGCTGCTGCGCAAGGCGTGTCACGTGACCCAGTCCCGCAACGCCAAGACCATGACGACGTCACACCTGTGAGTCCCTCACCTGTGCTCAGGTGTCCCCTCACCTGTCCCCATCTGTGCTTCTCTGTCCCTTACCTGTCAGTCACTTGTTCTCAGGTGTCCTCACCTGTGAGTCCCTCACCTGTGCTCAGGTGTCCCTCACCTGTCCCCATCTGTGCTTCTCTGTCCCTTACCTGTCAGTCACTTGTTCTCAGGTGTCCTCACCTGTGAGTCCCTCACCTGTGCTCAGGTGTCCCTCACTTGTCACTCACCTGTCTTCAGGTGTCCTTACCTGTCCCCACCTGTCCCCAGCTGTTCTCACCTGTCCTCACATGTCTTTATCTGTCCCCACCTGTCATTCACCTGCTTGACACACCTGAGGCACCTTTTGGGGTGGGTGTGGCCTGTCCCAGGTGTGTTGGGCGTGGCTGGGTGGGTGTGGCCTCTCCCAGGTATGTTTGGCGTGGCTGGGTGGGTGTGGCCTGTCCCAGGGGTGTTGGGCGTGGCTGGGGGGGGGTGGCCTGTCCCAGGGGTGTTGGGCGTGGCTGGGGGGGGGTGGCCTGTCCCAGGGGTGTTGGGCGTGGCTGGGGGGGGGTGGCCTGTCCCAGGGGTGTTGGGCGTGGCTGGGGGGGGGTGGCCTGTCCCAGGTGGGTTGGGCGTGGCTGGGTGGGTGTGGCCTCTCCCAGGTGTGTTGGGCGTGGCCGGGCAGGCTGTGGGAGTGGCCGGTTGGCTGTGGGCGTGGTCTGAGGCCCCGCCCACAGGAAGCAGTGCATCGAGCTGGAGCAGCAGTTCGACTTCCTCAAGGACCTGGTGGCCGCCGTGCCCGACATGCAGGGGGACGGTGACGACCCCCACGGCGATGGGGACAGGGGACCCCGCAGGTGAGGCACACCTGGGAACACACCCAGGTACCTGGGGACACACCTGGGAAAGCTGGGGACACCCCTGGGAAAGCTGGGGACACTCCTGGGAAACCCTGGACACCTCCTGGATACGTGGGAAGATACCTGGAAACCTTGGGGACAGCTGGGGACACACCCCAACACCTGGGGACACCCCTGGGGTACTGTGGGGACACCCCTGGGAATTCTGGGGGACAGCTGGGGACATCGCTGAATACCTGGGGGATACCTGGGGACACACCTGGCAACCTTTGGGACAACTGGGGACACATCCCAACACCTAGGGACACCCCTGGGGTACTGTGGGGACACCCCTGGACACCTGGGGACACCCCTGGGAAACCTGGAGGACACCTGGGGGCATCCCTGGACACGTGGGGGGACACCTGGGGACACACCTGGCTGCCCTAGGGACACGTGCAGACACCTTTGGATACCTGGGGACACCCCTGGACAGCTAGGGGACACCTGGGGCCATCCATGGATACCTTGGGGACACCCGGGGACACTCTTAGGTTCTTTGGGGACACCTTGGGGGTCCTCCTGGACACCTGGGGACATCCATAGATACCTTGGGGACACCCCTGGACACCTGGGGACACCTCAGGACAGCTAGGGGACACATGGGGGCACCCCTGGATACCTTGGGGACACCCGGGGACACTCTTAGCTTCTTTGGGGACACCTTGGGGACATCCATGGATACCTTGGGGACACTTGGGGGACACCTTGGGACCCCTGAAGGTCCCCCCAGGTTCCTCTGGGAGACCCTCACCCCCCTGAGCTCCCTGGCGGGGGGGTCAGGAGGGATTTTGGGGTGCAGGGTGGCCCCTGAGGGGGCCTCTAATGAGGTCTGGAGGGGTCTCTAATGAGGGGGGGTCTCTTTCAGGGGGCGGCGCCCGGGCAGTGGCCGCAAGAACGGGGGTCCCGGGGCCAAGGGGACCCCGAAACAGTCGGGGACAGACTCGGAGCAGGAGGTGGGGGGGATCTGGGGGGGTTCACCTGGGCA